GCCACCGCGCCCGGCCTGGTCTCAAACTTCTGACCTCAAGTAATCCACCCTCCTTGACCTTCCAGAGTGCTAGCATTACAGGCATGAGCCACCGTGCCTGCCTCAGTTTTTATTTTTAGTAGAGACAGGGTATCACTGTGTTGGCCAGGCTGGTCTTGAACTCCTGAGCCCAAGTGATCCTCACACCTCCGCCTCCTAAGTAGCTGGGACCATGAACACACGTGTGCACAACCATGACTGGCTAAGTTTTTGTATTTTTGGTAGAGATGGGGTTTCACCATGTTGCCCAGGCTGGTCTCAAACTCCTGAGTTCAAAAGATCTATCTGCCTCAGCCTCCCAGAGTACTGGGATGACAGGCATGAGTCACCACACCCAGCATCTGCATGGGGTTTGGTCAGGGCTGGGTCTGGGGACCCAGGGCTGGGTCAGGCAGCAGAGCTCATTCCAGCCCAGCTCCCCACTGCTGCAGCATATGTGTGGGCTCCTTCAGGAGAGAAGTGGGAGTTTTCCTGTAGGAGTTTATCATCCTTGGTGCGGTGGGCAGCACAGGGTGAGGTCTCCTTTGTATGTTTCATTGCGTTACAGAGAGGGGGTTTCTTGATTCTGAGCAATAAACAACATATTTCTAACATTCAGGATTGACTTCTAAACACTCTTGGTATGTGAGGAAGAAACACAGAAGAGGAAGAGGAAAGCAAAGGAGTCAGGGATGGCTCTTCCTCAGGTGAGATGATGTTCTTGGTGGATTGTTCTGTCTCCTTCCTTTTGGAAACGCTGGACTTAGAGTTGGGAATCTTCTCTGAGTCTGAAGCGTCCTGTCTGACAGGTTTGCTCACCCTCACCCATGCCTTCCCTCAGTCCCTCTCATCTCGCTTAGATTCCATCTCTCATGACCCAGTGACATGAACTTGGGAAGAGGCTGCACTGGGCATGGGCCTGGGAAGGGCTCACACCAGACATGGATGGAGACGGGGTGAGGGTCCCGTGGTGTCAGTGCTGTTGGGCAGCAGGGATTGTTCAGGGGCCACATCTGGCTGCTCTGTCTGGTCTCTGTGGACCAGGATTAGAGCAGCTGCCACTGGAAGTCACGTATTCATGTGCACAAAGTACATGGTAAATTCCAGAAAAGAAGACCAATATGGAGAAATGTTTTCTGCCTGATTTTTTACTACACTTTTAGGTAATTGAATGAGTTACTATGTTTCTGACTCCAAAAATCTTACTAATTAGAATGGAAAGTTTGTACACAGACACGAATGATACAAAGTGTTTTATTCCATCATTATTTTAAGAGTATGAAATCAACCTAAATAATAGCAGGAGATTCATTAAACCATTCTTAGCATATTAAGCTCATGGAGACTGTGGTGTTACTGTGGAGAGGCTTGTGAAACAGGTGTTTTCAGTAAAAATGGTTATAATTTTTATTATTATTATTATTATATTATGATAATGTTGTTATATTTCAAATATACGTAGTCTTGCTGTATCGCCCAGGCTGAAGTGCAGTGACATGATTGTGGCTCACGGCCACCTCCACCTTCGAGGTTCGAGCAATTCTCCTGCCTCAACCTCCCGAGTAGCTGGGATTATAAACACACGTCACCATGTCCAGCTAATTTTGTTGTATTTTTATTAGTGATGGGTATCACTGTGTTGGCCAGGCTGGTCTCAGACTACTCACCTCAGGTGATCTGCCCACCTCAGCCTCCTGGAGTGCTGGGATTACAGGTGCAAGCCACCGTGCCCAGCCCCAACAATTATTATTAAATATATATTTTTTCTATTTAAACATCACATGATGAGTATATTTGTTTTGTGGTAAAACTCCAAGCAAAGCTGCAGCTTAGACCCTTGGCCATAAGGCGTCTCCATTCCCAGTCACGTCCTCCACCCTCCTTCCAGCCTCACTGGGGAGCCGCTACTGTCAGTTTTTTGCCAGGCATCAGAGCAAGTCTTGTACACGTGTATTTCTGCATCATTGTGAGACTTTAGAAAAAATTCTACAATAAATTTTTTTTTAAAAGTTACAAAAATTAGTTGGGCGTGGCGGCACGTGCCTGTAATCCAAGCTACTCAGGAAGCTGAGGCAGGAGAATCGCTTGAACCTGGGAGGTGCACGTTGCAGTAGACATTGCAGTAGGGCGTTGCAGAGATTGTGCTACTGCACTCCAGCCTGGGCACAGAGCAAGACTGCATCTCAAAAAAAAAAGAAAAAAAGTTTCTATATTTCTGTTTTCACTTTAGGTTTGGGGCTACACGTGAAGGTTTGTTCCACAGGTAAACGAGTGTCATTGGGGTTTGTTGTATAGATTATTTCATCACTCTGGTGTTAAGCCCCGTACCCAATAGTTATTTTTAATTAATTTATTTTTTTGAGACTGAGTTTTGCTCTTGTTGCCCAGGCTGGAGTATAATGGCATGATCTCAACTCGCTGCAACCTCTGCCTCCTGGGTTCAAGCGATTCTTCTGCCTCAGCTTCCCGAGTAGCTGAAATTACAGAGGCCTGCTACCACGCCTTGCTAATTTTTGTATTTTCACTAGAGACAGGTTTCACCATGTTGGCCAGGCTGATCTTGAACTCCTGACAGGTGATTCACCTGCCTCGGCCTCCCAAAGTGGTGGGATTACAGGCGTGAGCTGCCGCGTCTGGCCCCCAATAGTTATTTTTTCTGCTGCCTCCTTCCTCCCACACTCCACCCTCAAGTAGACCCCAGTGTCTGTTGTTTTCTTCTTTGTGTTTTAGTAAACATTTTGCTTTGATATTTGATTCTGCTGGTTGTGAATTTACATGTTGTCCTGTTAGTAAACATGGCTACCTTGCTCTTTGCCATCTGCATTGGAAATTGGCTGAATGACAAGTGGGTCCTTTGTGATTTTTCCCTGTATAAAGAATGCCGTAGTGGCTGCCTCTGCGTAGTGGCTGCCTCTGCGCACGCCTGCATTCCTACAGATATCTGACGATTCCTCAGGTCAGGCAGTTGAAAGGGTGATTGCTTCCTCTAGGATGGGGCATTTCCTGTTTTCTTAGATCCCACAAGATTCCCCCTGCCCCCAATTGCCGAAGTGTCCTTTTCCAGCAAGATGAGATTCCTCTTCAGTTAAACAAAACTTGCTACTTTTTATATTTTTAAAGCCTTTATATATATAAACACACACACACATATACATATACATACATATACACACACAAATGTATATATTTTGAACAACTTTTACAGTTTGAAAATCTGGGGAAAATGACAACCCTTAGTATTAACATCTAGTTTTTTGTGAGTCTGTGTAGGCTTCATTATTTTGTTATATATATATAAGATATATTATACATATATAACATAGTATATATAATGGATATTTATATATTTGTTATACATAACAAATA